CCGACCGCCCGAAACGAAAAACACAAACAACTAACAGTAGATGAAGTATTTATCACGAGCGAAATAAGGTAAAGTATTGGTTATGCTCACTTCCAACACGGAGTGCAAGAAGTAGGAAAAGTACTTAGAACAAAGCATAAAGAACCTATCTTCCTCGGCCGTATCGACCTCCTTATATAATGTTCTTCCCACCTTTAGTCATGTGACTTAAAGTGGTCACATGTGCAAAACCAAATTATAACAAACTAATCATGTGACCAAAGTAATCACATGATCAAAACCCATGACCTCATAGTGAGGTCATGTGCAAAACTCATAAACCAATTATAACACAATAAACAAGTCATATGACTCAACTGAGTCATATGCGCGAAACCCATGACCTCATAATGAGGTCATGTGTGAAACATAAATCATATGTGCAAGGCTTACCCGCAAGGCACCCTCGCAAGGCATACTCGTCAGGCGCACGTCCCATGACTCATACTTGAGCTATGTGCGAAAGCATTACAAATCCCACACATACAACTCATATAATCCGAATGAGTTATATGCGTGAAATAATAACATACCTGTGACTCATACCCATTTGTCATGTGAAAACCTTTTCCATACTAAGCCATGTTCGTGACACCCTATTATATGAAAAGCTTTCTTCTCTGGGTATAATTAAAATACTTTACATAGGCAACTCACATCGAGATAGTAAATTAGCCCGCGCGTGCTACTATCCATGGAGGAATGCTTCTCCAAGGTGTATTGGCAACTCAAAGGTGTTAGGTTTGCTAATGAAGTAGAGAGCTTAGGAGTGATGGAGAGGACCTAGCATAATACAAACCTACTTGAGTATATGTAACCTTTGATTAGTTTCATTCATACTAGACATGAACAGATTTGTGTATTTAAGACTACCTAATTCCAAGATTAAAAGCAGCAGACTTCAACTGACTGTATTTTAATATACTTGGTTGAACAGTTACTTCTTTTAAGTTTTCTTAGTATGCCTTTAAAGCCTTCTTTAGTTCACAGCTCTTGCCTCCTCTCTGGAAGAGTAGGCTACCTGTCTACTATTGTACTCTATCCAGTAATGTGATTAGTACATAGTGAACATGTTACACTGGTGGGAGCAACAAAACCTACAAGTTACTCATGATAGAAAGCTGAAACTTGTCATAGTTATTAAGACAGTTTCTGCATCTAGTATTTTACAAGCACCATTTGTGATTAATAAGGGAGCTAGTTACTATTTGCAATAATATGAGAACATAACATAAAGGGAGAAAAAGTAGCAATTCAGTTATTCGCCAAAGGGGAAGTCTGATGATCAGTTAACATTGGACTGATTCACTGATCTTTTTGAACTTACATCTGCAATTGTAGCTTGGATTGGCTTACCACATCTTCTCATCTTTGATGGCCATGGATCTCCTATTACTTTTGAATTTCTTCAATTCTGTTTTGATAATAATATCCTTCTTCTTTGTTTACCTTCTCATTCTATACACCTATTACAACTACTAAATGTTGGGCTGTTCAGTCTATATAAGCACTATTATAGACTCACAGGCGATAAGTACCTTCATTCAGGTTAAGATTGAGAGGAAATCAAAAAGGTAACATTTATCCCCTTCATTACCGAGGTACATGATAAGACTATACAATCTACAAGTATTCAGCAAGCATTTACGCCAACTGGAATATGGCCACTCAACCCCTGTCCAGTATTAGGCAAGATGGCTCCCTATTAAGAATACCGGGATCCGATACCTATGAACTACCTAAAGTAGGATAACCCCACTCAGAATCGTAATCTCTTGTCTCCAACACCCCCCTCTTGCCCCCTTATGGGGCCCGTACATTATCATATGTATTAATATCAGTTGTGTCCTGTGACTATAATGCCACAAGATTGAAGGTGTAAAAATAACACCATTTACGTCACTGCTGTCCATTCAACTGGATCCTGTTCGCAGGTTGTATGAAAGGGGACCTTTGACTAGGTCTGGGAAGTAGAATGGAGTGAATCCATCAACTACTTGGAGAGTTACTAGGCTTTGAAGATGCAATATCTCTGGCATAGGCCGTAAGTAACAAAACGTTTTCACATCACGAGATGATATCAAATGGTAGATAATTTCAACGAGAAACCAATACATTCGCACCTACCATATAATAACCAGAAGAGTCTAGAACTCTGAGGAACACTACTACAGAGGCCAATGGAGTTCACATGGTATTACAACTGGGTTCAGGAATAATCTATAGTTGTGGGAATAATTCCCAATTCCAGAATGGCAATTCTAATCCTATTACCCAGAACAACCAAGAGTTGCCGACCGAGAGATTATCTGTCAATCCAGTAGAATAGCCTCCTGCAAATTAGTAGGAAGTCTTCTGGAAGAAATCTGTTGGTTGAATATGGAGTTATGGAGGTTCAAAGTCAGATGATCCAAGAAGGTTGCAATCACCACTACCTCTGCAGATACAACTCGCAGCTGAAACTGATCATTTCATCAAGGACAGAGACAATTGGGGCCAACACAGCTCGACTAGAGAACTAGGCCATAAGTCTAAAGACTCTGATGATTGGATAATTACTATTAGAAACACCATGGCTACTAGTTATCAATATCATAAGTACCGAAAGAGGGTGTTGTAATTTTCGGCGTCTCGAGGTGTTTGCATCTTTGAAGAATACTTGACATTACAAGTTATAATCAGAGAGGTACATTGTTGTATAATAGCTAAAGGTAGTCCATAAATACTCAGATGGGAAATATAAATATTGAAGTACCTCTCAAGCTTATAGACATCATCAAGCAACACAGAAGAGACCTTAACAATATAATATTGTCTTCACGATTCTATTCTACTTTACCTACCTTACTTTACTCTTAGTAGTCATAAACGAAACGAGTATAATCCACACCTTCCTAGACAATCTCCGTCTACAGGAACAAATCTTGGTTGGTCTAGACAACTCTGAAGTCTATCAGGTTGTCCACCTAATATTCCCGATACTTCCAAACATCTCCATACCCTTGGTTTGCTCTGTGCCCTATGAACTGCCTGGGATATTAGAGGCCATGTAAAATCTGGACAGGTAGTACTTAATAGCCTGATATTACTAAGCTTGGTACCAAAAGAGGAGAAGACAGCACACAATTGAGTTCCTGGGATTTTGTGAAATTTAGGCCATCAGCTTGAGATAGTGATTACAGAAAAAGAGATTTACCTTGAATCAAACTACAAGCTCTAAGGCACCCAAAAGATCTTCAATGCTACTGACAAGAGGCAGTTGTCAGTGGCTCAAGTTCTTGGTAGAGCTGAGCTTATAAGACTATGAGATATTCCCCTCACAAAGAATGAAAAAAAAGAATGAAACAAAAGCCACCTCTACCAACACCTAAGGTTAAGCGTACTTTTACAAAGAAAACTATTATCCAAAGAAGAAGTAAAATACCATCAACTCCCCCTATTCACACCACTCCTCCACTGATACAGGAGGTAATAATTGGCGATATACCAACGGTTGTCTTTGTTGATCCCAGCTTGGAAGCCAGTGATACCAAGTAGCTCAGCGATGAAAATTGGAATTCACCACCTCTGAAATCCCACTGACCCCCACAGTCCTATCACCTTTCAGTAAAACTGAAGAAACTCCTTCCTGACCACCCCTTGCATATGTTACTTTGTTCCCGCATGCGATAGTATTTCTTTTTCTTCCTTTCTTCCAACTTTGAGGTCTCCAGTCTCCCAACCTCCTACCTATTTTTTCATCTTTTACTAACATTTTTCTTAGTACCGGTTTGACTGTTTATTTCTATTTTTCAGGTTCTCTGGGTTTTTTCAAATCTTTCCTTATTCCCAAATTGTCAATTGGGTTGTTTTTGGGTTCATTGCATCAATTTCAAACTTTCTCTTCTACCGGAAGCTCCTGTGAGACCCTTGTGTCAGTTCACGGACCTGTGTCAGTTCACGGCAAATTATGTTAGACCCGAAAGAGCGCATAACTGTTGGAATATCGAGTGAGTAGCTATGACGTTCAACCACTCACCAGGTTTCCCTATCACATCAAGAGTCTTTGGAAGATGAAGTAAGGCTAACAAAGTACTCTGAACAAAAATCAAAATCAACACTAGCAACCCCACCATGTCTACTACCATGACCTTGAAAGCGATAATGAGTTGTCTGAAATATTGGCAATAGTCTCAACTGTGCCAATGCCCCTCTATAGCAATCGGTTGTATCACATGCATCATAGACTGTTGCAGCCCCCCTGAATGACATTACCCGTGTCAAATCCGCCAGCTAAATGCCGTCATTTGCCTCTTTTGATTTTATGCGCCTGTTCCAAGGCTGTATGAAAGACCATTTTGCCAGTTCAGATTGCATCAAGCTGTTTCATGACCAAAGGGGTGCAAGAGAGACTTTTCATCCTATGATAATATAAAGGTCGAATCCGTCAGCGTCTCCAGAACTGTTTAGGGTGATTTTAGGGGAAATCCAGCGAAATAGCCCTGAATCTCCCAAAGAATAATAATATTATACCAGGGGCAATACCTGAGCTCGGGCTGCTGTTTCTACTGCCAGGGCTCAGCATGCTCCCTGAAGTCTGGTACGTGTTGGCGCAAAGCCAATATGACCAACAGCAGGTGGGAACTCTGGATCCGTTGGGGGTAGCATACCTTGGAGAGGGTAGAGGTTGTAGCTTAAAGCATCTGGCCCAAGCGTTAGCATCTATTCTTCGGTTCAACCAAGGATTTCCCAAGGCCCCCACCAGCTCTCGCTTTGTAAACTGCTTTAATAGCTTTATCGCTAGGGTAAAAATGGACACTATGACCTGTAGGGACCGGGAGACAGAGAGTCTACGGGTTACGGTGGAAGCACAAAACAAAACAACAGCAGGAGGTCTACTACTACTATCGAGTGATTTTTCGTGACTATTATTAAAAATCTCCTATCATAACAAAACTCAGGGTTATTTCGGTATCATAGACTTCTTACGATTCTCGAATCACGAGCAGGTTTGAGTGTGAATTCGAGGGTATCCATGCATATTAAATTTTTATAAACAAACCACCAAACGGTAAAATACAAATAAACTAAGGCAAACGTTCTCATTCACCTTCATTCAACCCCCACTTCAAATAACCAACATCTCCTCCTCAAGTACACCATAAAGCCTCTCAACGGTAGCGACAGCATCCAACAGCCCTTCCGAAATCCTGCCGGTAACCAACGCTATAGCAGCACTCAAATTAACCTCAACACCCAACATTAAGAGAGCAGGAAGGGGGAGAACAAACCATAAGCATAAATCAGGGCAAAGTCCTCATCAGAATCCCCCTCCGTCCCGCGAACCCTCTTCCTAAACTCAAACAGCCCCGCCAGCAAGCGGTCCCTGGCTCTGTCCGTCTTGGGCAAACTCCCCGGCAACGGGAAACCCAACTTCATTGATCCGGCCAGCACGTAGAACAAATGACTGATCCGAGCGCAGAGGTCCTCCCTCTCGCGGCGGGTGTGTGCCAGGATCTCCGCTTCGCGGCGGTTCGCGCGCGGGTCTCTGGCAATCATGACTGCCATGCCGTGGAACGCGTCTAGCATGGCTTGGCTAGCCACGATGAGGTTTTTGTAGTCCCTTTCTGGGAACGGGCCTTTTAGGCGGAATTCGTGCGGGGCAGAGTCCGTTAGGCGACTAAGACGGAGGAGGGCACTCTGGAGTGCGTGTTCTTCGGTTATGTTCATGTATTTCTTGTGGCGGCTATGGTGGGTAGGGTGGGTGGTAGTGGGTTCTAGTAGGCTGAGGAGTGGATCGTGACGCCAGATTAGGGCCATGCGAAGCCAAAGCACGCCGAGGCCATTGCGGAGTTGGTTCCTCGCGCTGGTGGGCCAAATCGCGAGGTTTATGAAGACACCCCAGAGGACGCCGACGGTTACGGCTACCGAGCGGTGGAGGACTATGTCGGTAATTATCGGGCTCGTGCCACCCTCGTCGTCGTCATCGTCACCCCCGTCGGCTGAGGAGGTAGCGAGGGAGTAGGCGTAGAGGACGGAGAGGTTGTAAGTCAGAAGGATGAAGCGGCCGAAGGTGGCTTGCTTCCAGGTTAAGATGATCCAGAAACACGGGACCGAGACGGCCCAGCCGAATAGGGAGAGTGTATATGGGTTTGTGGAAAAGACGAACCAGGCGAAGAGTGCTAGGATCGACCCGAGGAGTGTTCCCAAGACTCTTGCTTTGCCGGAGTTGTTGGTCTGGCCGAGGGTCATGGAAATGACTATCATGTAAGAAACCAGGCCCCATTCCCCGCGCCAGTGGGAGTATATCGGTCGTGTCTGCGGTATGAATGCTGGGAGAGCGTAAATCGCCGCTCCCACGCCGACCTTAATACTAAACCGCACGTTACGCTGTCGGAATAAGCTCAGCGCTTTCCACACTTTATACGTGAACGGCACGCCGACTTCCGGAGCGACGTTCGGGATGGTCTTTGCGCGCTTGAGAGTGAAGTCATCAGCGTTGTTAATATTGTCCGTTGAGGCCACGACTAGAACAGAGGTGTTAGTAAACGATCGAGGGGATGGCACGGTCATGGGAATCACAATTTTCTTCGGCGGTTTTCCTGGTCTTCTTGGATTTCCAGAACTTGGCCCACTCCCACGAACGCGGTCTCCTCACCTGCAAGTCTTCCAGTTCCTCGAGAAGGCTAAGAAACACAAGCATCTCTTCGGCAAAATAAAGTAGACAGTACGAAAAGTACCCGCAACTCGCTGCAATCTCTTCTACGTCTGCGGCCTCCATCATCGGGCGTTCTTTTGTCACGACCTCACTTTTATAAAGCGTGTTGAGCGCTTCGATTCTGGTCGCCGAGTAGAGTGCTATTGCCTGGCCTAGACTTCCTCTGAACTCCCTGTTCACATGGATCCTGTGCGTTTCACTAGAGTTGAATGGTAGATCGTCAAGCATGAGCTTTAGAGTGTACGCAAGTGACTTCATGGGAGGACCAAGATGGAAAATAAACTGGTCGAATATTCTGATTGGTGCGGTGGGGTCCTCTTCCAGCGTAGAAGTACCACTCCCGGCAACAGAAGCGGCCTTGGAAGTTGAAGCGAGGTGAGCAGGAATCGCGATCCTGTCATGATCTGGAGGAGTGAAGAGCTGTGGACCGTCGGTTGCGTCCTCCCGAGGGCCCATGGAAATCCCCTCAGCGGCACTCGACCTTGCATCCACCTGCTCCTGGAAAGTGGCCAAAAGAGTGAACTGTGTTGAAGCGGCGCTCCTAAGACCACCAATATGTTGAGCCAGCCGCTGCATACACTCGATGAGTTGCTTTTCAACTATGTATTCTTGCTCCGTGCCGCGGAGGTAGTGCTCATACTTTGCTTCTTTAAGATGTTTCATCAATGATGTGAACACGGTCCTGTGGTTAATTGTGGAACTTTTGAACTTTTCCCCAAGTAACTCGTTCTCACTTCCCTTGAGAAAGCTGCGGGTGATGATAACCAACTAATATTGGGTTAGCATAGTCCATCGCTTGGTGGAATAAAGGGGGGCGTCATACCATGGCCGAGAAAGAGTCAGTAGACCTAATCATTAGCTGCCTAAGTTCTCCGATCGCAGATGTGGGCCACAGAGTAAAAGCCAGGAGGTTTGATATAACAATTGACATTATTACAATAGTGGACACCTGATATATCTTTCCCATGCTGAAATCACCGCTTTGGACATTCCCTATAGATTGTGAGCAAATAGGCCGTGTGGGCCAGTGGGCACTCTGTTAGGTTACCTTCTTTAGTTAAAATGGTAATAATAGATATAGAAGCCAACGAACAAGCCACGCTGACCGTCGGACTGGACATGGCGATCTTGGTGTATCCGATCAACCCCAGCCCACCGGCGCAGAATACAATGAGAACGATGGCATGTCCCAACCCGATTAATTCCAATTGATCGAACAACAGTGAAACTCCCATGCTGTTTGTTTAACATGGTTCACGTCAGCCACCGTCCGTGCCCTCCGGAAAAAACGTTTATCCGAAATACCTCCCGATAGAAACAATTGTGCTGTAAAGAAAGGCAGTCAATGCAAATATCGTCGCTTCGTGCATGCCTAAAGAGAGGATCAGAAACATGCAATCCGGCCGTATGCAGCGGGTGTGGGAAACACATACTCCCAGCGGACCGAGCTAAACCCCGTATCCAATCCTAAAATTTAGCAACAATCACTAAATGGCTTTCTCCATGATGAAATAATTACCTGGATGAAAATAAACTATCCGCCGGTACCGGGTCGTCAGCCAACCACATCCCACCCAACCAAGCGAGGACACACCAAAACCTACCGGCACATGTAGCAACCTAACCTCCCATCGTAACACAAATCAATACTCGTACTATCCGTCCCATCCCATCCCATCTGTAGCACAACCACCAGCAGGGGGAAGAACCATACCATATGCTTCCCATCATATCTTCCCAGGAGAGCCGAAATGGCAGGAACGAAGCTACCCCCCCCGCATTAGCTCTCCCTTCCCCTATCAACCAAGTGGTGGAGGAGGGAGGAACACACGTAGCCAAACTCCCGACCCAGTACGCCAAGGAACACTTGATAACCCTCTTCCAGATGTCATAATCCAAGCGCGCAAAGCAACTCTTCACCAACTTCCTCCCGCGCTTCAATGCCAACCTTATCATTCTTCTCCTTCGGAAGCTTGCTCCACCGCCAAGAAGTGGAGTTCTATCCGACACCTCGTTGCTATCATCATCATCAGAGTCAGGTGCGGGAGGGGAGGGTGTTTGGGTTGGTTCGCTGTGAAGATTAGCTTCGCTTAGCTCTGGGACGAAAGGAGGGAATTAGACTAACCTCCTAAGCGTATAATTCCTCGGAAGATTCGTCGAAGACCTATGTATCCGCAGGCCAGTTGCGGGAATTATCAGTGACGAAGAGCGGCTCTGCAGTTTCCCGTCAACCGACCACCATAAGTGTTAGTTTACTCAAGGGTACTCGGGGAGTTTAACTACGCACCATACCGGGCCTAACCCGCTGCTCGCCACGATCCGGGTTCGAATCCGTGGGCATCGACATTGCGGGGGGAGGACAATAAAAGAAAGCGAAGGTTGAAAGAAAAATTAAAAAGTTGGTGGTTTGCACTCTACTGGTATTGTGTGCACTTTCATACTGGAGTAGTAAAAGCGCTCGTACATTGTACGAGTAGGCGCTGCGCTGGTGGTCTTGATTTGTCACCAAGAGTATGGGTGTTGCTATTGGGCGCGTTTCAGCCCTGGTACTTGGATTGTGCGGGCTTGGCCGCTGAAAAAGGCGAGGAGCAGGGCCTTGTGTAGTTTGGCAGGGCTACCCCACGATCAGTTAGGGTTAGTTTAACAAGTTGACCGAATTTTGGACATGGGTTAACATGGTCCAAGATGGTCTAGTGTGCTGACCTGATAATAATATTGATACCATATCGCGTAAACACTAACCCGTCCTAGGAGCGTTTGTCCACGAATTCGGGGATTTTATCTATGGCTTGGCAGAGATTGTTGAATTGGATTTCAAGAATTTACGGTGCCTGCCAAGTATGATACTACGAGTACAAGTACAGGTGTGGGCAATTGGATAGAATTGGATAGGGCAGTATAGTACAAACACGCCTTCGCGACACTCAATTCAATCTTTACTCCACCTCCATTGGCTGTGCAAGTTGTTCGACAGTGTGGGAGTGCAAATACCAGTACCAGTACTCGTACTCGTAGTCTACCGGTTGGAAAACATACCCTACTTGTAACTTCTACTAACCAGCCAAGCTCAATAAGGAAAACTGCAGTAGACTTCTCGTGCGAGTACAGCGCCGGTAGCCGATACGGCGTCAGAGTCAGAGATCGGCGGCTGTGCATACAGCACCCTACTACGAGTAGACTATAAGAGTACTTATTAGTCACTCCGTGACTCAAGCTCTGAATCACCCAAATTACCTGTAAGCGGGATAAATTTAATTGAACTAGTTCGAGCACCACCTAACCCGCACCGTGCTACAAGTATAAGCCGGCCGTGACCCGAAACTTGCCCGGATCAAGCTTATAAAAGTCGTGAAAATCCTTGCCCCCGTTAAAATTTACCATTCATCAAATATCATCCATCACTCTAGTCGCCTCGCTCTCACAGCATACCACTACTATCGTACACCAGAGACAGATAAAACAAGCGAAACCATCTCTCAATGCCTCGCGGAAAAAAAACCGCCACGCCAATGATCCAAGCAACCTCGCAACAGACCCGCTTCAATCTCGAAGAAACTGCCTCCAAGGAATTGGACTTGAAGGGGGTGCACATTTCCATTGGGAAGAGGGAAATCATCTCCGATGCCCACCTCAAGCTATCTGCCGGCGTCCATTACGTCCTCGTCGGCCGCAATGGTGTCGGAAAGAGCACGCTTCTCCGCGCCATCGGGGAGAAGCTGATTCCGGGGATCGCTAGGAACTTGAGGCTTCTTTTTTTGCAACAGAGTTACCATTCCGACGGGGAGCAGGGCGAGGAGGGGGAGGGGGTGTTGGAGTTTGTTGTTAGGAGCGATAGGATTAGGACGGATACATTGAGGAGGTTTGAATGTGAGTGTTTGTGGCTTGGGCGGTAGCATTTGAGCGCGAGGACTAAGTTTTCTACTATAGCGCTTAAAAGGGCATTGGATAATACCGAGGATTCCACTGATGCTGTGACGGTTTTGAGGATGTTGAAGCATGAAGAGAGAATGGTGGAATTGGAAGAGGCCAAGAAAGCCGCTACTTTGAGGAGCGGGACGAGAGGAATGAAGGCTAGAAAGGAACTTAAGGCCTTAGAAGTTGTCATTGCCGAGGAGGAAGCCCAGTAAGCTCAAGCATTTGAAAGTGATACCGCTACGGTTGCTGAGAAACCCCAGGCTACAGATTGTCGACGACGGGACGGTGGCGGAGGAGACGGATGAAGCGATCAATACTCTAGGAGAACTTGAAACCGCTCTTGAGGCTGTGGGTACAATGAAATTTCGGTCTGAATCGAGCGTAAAAGTTAATTCACATGATAGATGTCTGCAGCAACCGCCGAAGCCCGAGCTCAACAACTCCTTCTCGGACTCGGCTTCACCCCCAAGATGATAACTCAACCCCTCTCCTCTCTTTCCGGTGGCTGGCGCATGCGCACAGTCCTAGCATCACTCCTCTTCCAGCCCTGCGACATTCTCCTGCTAGATGAGCCCACAAACTTTCTCGACCTCCCATCCCTTCTCTGGCTCGAGGGCCATCTCCAAACCCGGACAGAGACAACCCTCCTCCTCGTATCTCATGACCGAGCTTTCGCAGACACACTCGCAGACGAGATCATAGTTCTTCGCGAGGCGAAGCTAGAACGATTCCCGGGGAATCTAGCAGCCTACGAAACCACCCGCGCCGAGAACCAAAGGCGTTTAACGCGCATGAAAGAAGTACAGGATCGGCAGAAGGAGCACATGGAGGCCACCATCGCTGGCAACATTCGCGCTGCTAGGACCTCCGGCGACGACAAGAAGCTGAAGCAAGCCGCGTCGCGGCAGAAGAAACTAGACGAGCGTATGGGGTACCAAGTCGGCATCCGCGGGGGCAAGTTTAAGCTCAATCGCGACATGGCGGGCTTTCATAACAGCGCGCGCGACGAGATTGAGATCCCGCCGGACGACCCGGCGGCACGGTTAGCTGTTCCAAGCACCCCCGCTGAACTACGCTTTCCGGGACCGCTGGTGTCCTGCGAGAACTTGAGCTTCACATATCCCGGCGCGGAGGCGCCAGTTTTGGAAAAGATAACCTTGACAATCCACCTCGGCGACCGCATCGGTCTTGTTGGCCTTAACGGCGCCGGAAAATCCACCCTGGTCACCTGCCTAGTCGACACCCCACCAAGCAACGCGAGAATCACAGGAACACTAGCCCATCACCCCAAATCCCTCATCGGCTACTTCTCGCAAGCAGCCATCGACTCCCTGCCACAGGACCGGACCACAACGACATTATCACTCCTCGGTGGCGATGAACACGAAGCCCGTGGCATCCTTGCTTCCCTCGGTCTGGTCGGCGCTACAGTATCCGAACTCCCCGTCTCCCGTCTTTCCGGGGGGCAAAAAGTCCGCGTCGCACTGGCACGGATCCTGCACCCGCCGCCACACTTACTCGTGCTCGACGAGGTGACTACGCATCTAGACGCCGATAGCGTAGTTACCCTGGCCGAGGGATTAAAAGCATATGGGGGGGCGGTGGTAATCATTAGCCATGACCGCTGGTTCATGAACGCTGTTGTTGAGGAGGAGGGGAAGAATGGAAGGGTTTATATGGTTGGTGGGGGGAAGGTTAAGCATCTTGCGGGTGGAGTGGTCGCGTTTGAGAAGAGGGTTAGGAAGAGTGTTAAAGGGAATTTTGGTTAGGCGGCGGTGTCAATGATTGACGTCGTGGGAAATTCTGCGGGAGGTTATTGGTCGTAACATGGGTTGGACCGTTTTGCGCCGGTTGGAAGCGATAAACCGTGCAGGGATAGAGGCTTATTGGAGAGTTGGGCGAATAGGAGTAGATAATAGTCTCATGAAAAAAAAAAAAAAAAGCAAAATTTAATGATAAACTCTAAGCCCAGTCCGAACACCTCTCCCGCGCACCTGGGGGCACCCTTGGCCCCCACAACCCCCACCGTTCGAGCGGTAGGATGAGTGTTTGTTCCTATTATAAAATCATGTGAAATGCCTAGCTGGCGTAGTAGTTAATATGTCAAGAACCAATAACCTCCTGTGCACTTAGAATGAGCCCAGGAGTTCAATCCCAGCTCAGGACGAAGTTGTTGAATTCTCCATCACGTAGGGCAGCATACTTCGGAATTCCTGCCCCACTGGAACTGGGAGAGAGAGAGGCGGCAGAATCCGACTCTGGACCTAAACCTTGAGGGGGGCGGACCGCGATCGGCGATTTTTTCCCCTTCCCCTCCTTGCTGATCCGTATCCTACGATAGCAGTTGTGATTCTTGAACACTATACAGGCTCTCTCGTACAACAAACACGTTCGAGCCAGCCTCTGCGGGATGCTCCTGACGCATTTCTGGAGGAAGAAGATAAAATTATTATGACTAAAACAGAAATAAAAGTAACTATTCATCATGCCCAGCCATTCTTTGACCCATGCCACAACATATCCGCGCGGACTGTAGGAAATATATCGGTATCATAGGCTTAATACCAATCCGCCAGATTTCCAGGCCAAACACAGCCTAAATTATAGGCACATTGCAGCTGAGCTGGAGGTTGGGACTCGCCAGCGTGGGTCTCCGCCCCTGTTATATTAGCTTACATAAGCGGGTCTCACCGATAGACCCTCAACTAGTTTTTCATTCTTCTTCGGAACAAGGAAAACAAAGAACACGATAGTTAGTATCATAGCTACAGTACTCCCACTACCGATGGCACAAGACCAAGGACTCAGACCCCCCTCTCTTGGCAAACTCTACTCAGTAAACACTTTGATATTGCCCTCTCTCTCGCCCAGAGAAATTCAACACTCATCCGACACCCCCCCCGTGCCTTTCCATTATCCTACCATTCCCTCATCATAAATACACTCCCCCAACCCCCCTTTCCCCCGTTCCATCCCCTTCCGTTCCCCACGCATGGCTGCGCCCTCAAATACCCTATAAACCCCTCCAAACATCATGAAGCCGGTCACCGCAGCGCCGAGCGAGCCGGAGACTCCCACCGATGAGGGTCGTGGTATGGATTCTATCCTCATTCCCCGGTATCGCCTAATCTGTACTGACGGGGTGGATTAGGACAAACATGGTATATGTGTGTTATTTGTTAGCCCACCTATGAATGGGTGAGCAAGGGGATGGATGAGGAGGTGAAGGGAATGGGGAATGGAAGGGGGAGCCGTTGAACATCGTGCAGGATGGGATACGGTCGGTTGAGCAAGAGGGAGGGGGGGAACGTGTGCGCTGAACAAATGTTCTTTATTTTATGCCTCGAGGGTCGGCTGATTGGAATATTATCCGTTTTCTCATCATTTATTTTGGTGGGGGCGAGTTGCTCAGTGGGCGAATAAGGTTTTGTGACGCTATGTGATATTACGATAGTATCTAGAGGGTGTAGATGTAAATCAGTGAACGCACGGCTTTCAAGACCAGCTCTCCTCCGGCCCTATCGATGTCCCGACGGTGGCGTAGCCCCAGGACTAGCAGCGGAGTTGGCTTCGGTTTCTTTGTATCCAAGAAGCAGCTTCGCCGCTCCTTCATCCACTCTCTACTAGATGTACTGCTAACATGGTAGCTCGTCCGCTCAGGAGATAGGGGGGGCGTGGATAATGATTCAAGGTCAGTCCAGCCCCAGGGGGGATTCTGCCAAGGAATTTATGTTATATCATGGAACGGGGAGAACAAGTGGCCCCACTCCGGGTTCTTTTAATATCGCATAATGCGAGTACGCCTCTGAAACTGCCCTAGTCTACGACTAACAGCTAGGGGCAAGGCTTGTTGACACACTGGGTTGTGCTCTGTCATTTAAATGCTAGACTGGGGGCGAGTGATTTTTCGTGCCCTGACCTAACAGCGGAATGTCTATCGGCGACTCCCTGATCACGCGGATGGGTATCATATGATACACGGTAGACTCTTGATCAGGTTTGGAGTGAATAAGCCGGATGTCTAGCGCAGGGGTCAGAGAGAGAGAGAGAGAAAAGTGTAAAAGTTCAGAGTTCCCTGACTCTTGACCACCGTAGGCATGTATGATGTATCCTACATGACAACCTGGAACCCAAAGATCCCCTATGCGTTTCCTCAAGCCGATTACTCTCCTAAGCCTCTGGGTATCCTCTATTTCCTCCTTGAGCTCGGAAAAATGGTCACTAACTTGACTGAGCATAAAACACCGACATCTTATTACTTTTTTTTTATTTTAAATTTAAACAAGTGGTATCAAGTACCATGTGTCAGGATGTTTTTTTTGTCCGATATCCGGTTTTATATCAAATTTAGCAAGGGATGGCACTTTCAAATGGACATTTCCCAGCACTATCTTTTTAAACAACCCTAAAGCTTTCCGTTAGCTAGATAATTACTAACGAATTTATGATCAGATAGCACTTCTTGGCATTGGAGTACTGTACAGCGCATAGTTGATTAAGAAAGATAAATAACACCATTCCTGTAGCAATTCGTGAATAACGGCAAGGAAAAGAGCAGGGTATTTATGAACATAATAGGCTGAGGTAGTCTTGGCTCGCCAACTGCCTTGACACTCTCTGGCGAAAATGCAAGGTTCAACGGAGAAAACGACGAGAGGGATAGGAAAGAGAGGAACCACTAGCAATAGCTAGGACCTAGAATAGGGGAGGGATAAATATCTAAACACAGTCTTTGAGGACATGAGCAAAATTACAGAGAAATCCTTGTTACAAACTTCATTGTCGAGAGTGGATTACGGGGGAGTGTGGGTATCCATTGTACGATAGGAATTAGAACCGGGTGGGCCATGAACACATTACTATATGCCAGCCTATCCACATGTGCATTTGTAGTTGGAATGATCCTCTTCCATTAAGTAGCTAGGTCCTTTCTGGTCCTTTCTTCCAAAAAATTAATCCTCATCTTCCTAGAGGGGAGGTTTTCACAACTTAGACGAAAGCATTGTTCCACCAAGGGTCTGCCCCTTGACCAACACTTTCCCCAACCAGTTCTCAACCACTACGACCTCACTTAACGCTGCCACAGCCCCAACGTACCCATCAGGCCTCACGACCGCCAATGCCCCAACCTCCTCATCGACTCCCCAGGCAGCATACACCTCCCCAAACTCATCTCCAAAAACCAGCCACTCTGATTTCTCCCGTACACTCGGCGGGAAGTCAGTCCATTCTAGACTCCCTCGCTCACCGGGGAAGAAAATAGGCACCTCGACTATGGATGGTGGGAATGTTAAAGGTATTCTGGAGGTTAAGATGGTGAGGAGCTCGGCATATTTGTGGGGAAAGTGCTTAAATGAGGTGGGGAGGAGGGTTAAGATTCTGTAGCGGGCTGTTGATGGGAGGTCTTCTGGACGTTAACGACGAGGTTAAGGAAGGGATAGGGGTGGGGGGATACCATCTTGAATATCCCTAGGGTTTCCATCACAAAACCGCAATACTTTAGCATTAACCACCCGCCTCCCTGGCGCCAAATACTCATCTTCATTTCCCCGTTCCTTGAGCGGTTCACGGCCGCCCTTCACAAGCATCCCCTCCCGATACTCAATCCCACAGCCACTAGTGAACCCGCACATTTTCACATACACTCCCTGAAACTGCTCATGACTAAGTCCATGATCGCCACCGATCCGTCCAGAGAACATTTTAGAAAATTCGCGGTCAAAGCCGATTAGCTGCTGAGCGATGTCCAGCCGCTCGTGCTGGTAGGTGGCTAACAAATCAGAGTCTGGCGGTACGAGCCCGTTGAGCACATGAGCTACTTTCCAAGAGAAATTGTACGCGTCCATCATGGAGACGTTCATCCCCTGGCCGGATTTCGGGCTGTGCGTGTGGCAGGCATCGCCGGCAATGTGCACGCGGAGAGTGCCGCGGCTATCTGGTTGGGAAAACCGTGGGGAGACACGTTGACCAATTTGGTAGGTTGCCTATTAGAAACATATCTTAGCACTCGTACATTCTTCATAAAGCCGGTAATACATTGTAAGTGTGAACGCACCCACCAATCTACCTCTCCAAATTCAATACTATAAGGAGAGAGTACTCTCTTGGTCTGCGATTGGATTTGCTGAGCCGAGATCTTACCACGGCGTTCTCTCACGATGCGCTTGGCATCGCTGATGGCGGGCGTGTCGGTGTTTTTTTGAACGTTGTCGAGATTAGGGTCTTTCTCCACTTCGCCTTCCATCTGGCAGTAGATTCTCGTAATTGCTTGCGTTGGGGAGATGCGTTCTCGGGGGATGACTATTACCGACCCTACCGCGGAGTGCTGTTTTCTGTTTTAGATGGAAACCACCTGCTTGGAGGATATTAGGAAAGACTCACGATGGCGGATTTCCTCCTAATATCCGGAAAATTTGTTTTTACGACGGTATCCATGACGCCCCTGGCCTGCTAGTCAGTTATGAGCCATCCACGGGAACATCCTCTGAGAACACACCAGACATGATCCGTATGATCCCCCTCGAGTCTTAACCCCATACCCTGCCTGACCACACTCCTAGCTCCATCTGCTCCGAGTAAATACTTACACCTAACTACCCTCTCCTCTCCTTTCCACTCCTCCCCGGTCTTTACCATCCTAACAACAACTGGAAATCCTTCCTCCTCCACCGGCGTGTCAATCTCAAACCCAGTAACTCTCCAACCCCTCTCCACCCTCCCACCATTCCTCTCTAAGTCCTCGTTCAGAATTCTCTCGATCCTCCCTTGATGTATCGTGACCTCATGGAGGAACCTCGCCGGCACCGAAATATTCGGCACCCGATTTGTTCTAACGATGCCTTTATTCTCCGGGCCGGGGTTCCAAAAGCTCACTTCATGGAATTGGCAGCCCTGGGTGAGGATCTCGTGAGCAAGGTCGAGGGACTGGAGGATCTCTAGGGTGCGTGGCTGGAGGCCATCTGCCTGGCCGAGTTCTGTTTGGGAGTGCTTGTCGTCAACGGTTAGGCGACTTGTTATTCCGTAGCGGGCTAAGAGAACCGAGGAGAGGATTCCGGCTGGGCCACTGATGGGCTGTCAGAGTATGCAGAGGAGGAGCAGGATGGGAGGAACCCACGATCCCACGATCACCACTTCGTACCTTTCTTGCCCTCCTGGTGAAGTTGGCGATACCGGTGGAGGCTGGGTTAGGCGTGGGAGCGCATTTAAATGAGAGGGGCTGATTCGAGCATTTCCGTTTGGGCCGGATTTCGTAAACTTTGGCATGGCCACCAATTTGCTTTGCTGAATGTAGTACGTTTTCTGCAAGAATTAAACTTCACGCTAGGCTGTTAAATTTGCCTTTGCTGGCGCCTTTTCTTACTTCTTCTTTTGCCTTAGGTTCAGGTTGGGCGGGTCAGTTTCCCAATATTTCTCCCAATCCAAGATAGTGAACCTTGGGCGTCTTAACTCGTGGTTCAATTATTCCAATTTAGAAAGGTGAAAATTCTCTTACGAATGGGTAGCCAGACCGCTGGGGATGAGTCAAAACAACAAGGACCCGCACATTGAACTCCTGGTAGGGATAATGAACACCTCACCACCTGCCATTACCGTACTGTAAGTAGTCGAGTAATTGAATTTCAGGGGGGGGGCGTGGGAATCGGGACTCCTAGAAAGATGTGTGATAGTTTTCCCTATTTGTCCCAGGGAAGGGCTGAATGTCAGCATCCCTCAGGGTGATACTGCCTTTATCTAGCTGCATAGTGGAATTCTGGATGCCTCGACGTGAGCTCCAATTATTCTAGCTCCCGGGGTAGGGAGAGCACTTGCGAAAAACTGGTACTCGGACATGGAAGTAAAAATCTAGCAAAACAGGGATACGAACAAGGAATCTCGGGAATCTTGAAATTGACATGATAGAAAAAAAAGGGGTATGGAGAAAGTCAAAATCCCGGAGCGTTGCATCTTGATCATTGTGGAAGCTAGCAGTTACTGCTATTATTAAAACACTTACAAAGTCCCAAGACCCTAATACCCCAACTTCCTATCAAACTTTAGAAGCTCAGGTAAATTTATAGAAAGAAAAAGAGGGGGAAGCAAAGAAGAATAATCAGTCCCATGTTGCGCCCGATAAAGGCTGGTATGGGTTCTTGTGTACTCCAACTTGCCGATCTTTTCTACAATTCCTGCCGCCTCCGTACTTCAATGCAACGACAGGGTTTCTTTTCCATGTCCGGGTACTCGAACAGTTGATTGCACGGGCTAAAGTTAGTAGTTAATTACCCATGTTTAGGAACTCTCTGGTGGGGTTCTAGAAAGTGGGACAATTCTTTTAGAGGCGATGGCAATACTCGTAGACTCCCCTAATTTTTCCGCTTATATTTTTCACTTAAAAAATTTTTCATCTCATTTCATTAAATTCTGATGATCATGGAGCACATTGTGGGGCGTGAAGTGAGTGGCTTAATATAGATTGTAGGTGGTACTGTACAGTTGTAACTGAGGATCGTCTCCTGTGTACTTAATTTACACATTTCTATACTATTATAATAAAATATCATAAATACAAACAGAAAATTTATATAAAATTTTTTTTTTTTCACAAGGATCATCTTATCATTTAATAGAAATAGTAAGATTTTCATATTTGCATGAGCTGTATCATATATATGTTCTATCCTGCCGGGCAAGATATTTACTTGGCCAAGTGGATATCTTATTCATCAATAAGGTATCCCCTTGATCAAGCAGGGTACTTGCCTGGTGAGATGTCCTACTTGACAAGTTAAGTTTAACCTATCCCACATACCAAGTGAAAGTTTTTTAAAAATTTTCCTGCACCTAACTCACTGATTTAACTCTATGATGCGATAACAAATTACCTTACACTGCTCATACAACCTTCTCTAAACCTCCCACCCAAACACATTTCAACTTTCTCAACCAACCAAATAGTGTCTGAAAGTAACAATAGTGACCCCTATGTGCCATTTACCTATGCCATATTTTTAGATTTTAGTGCATGGCTAAAATCTCCAGACTATAAAAACCAAGCGTGTATTTCTTCCAACTTGACCAGTGATGATTTCTTGACTAACCTCCATACCTGCATAACTAGTGGCTATTCAGTGTCGAGCAAGTAGCTGAGTATCAGAACTAGCTCATCTTTGAAAATGAAAAACCAGGCTCGGGACCTAAGTAATAGAAGCAATACAATCAGCACCATAAATCTAAAGCCTTATACTTAGTAAGAGATGGCTAGCTCTTTCGCAAGGGGTTAGTCAAGGATGGAATACTGGAACTGGATCGATTGGTAATATGTGATAATGAAGTGTTCTGCAAAATTCGGGATGTTCATCTGTAACTTGGACATGATGGTATGAACAAAACCTTTATTAGAATTAAGGAGCAATTCTATGGGATAACCAAGATGGAAGTTGAGTGTCTATTGAAGCACTATCAAACCTGTTTGCTCAATTAACAAAATCACTCCTGGGCACCTCTTGAGCCAATTATATCTGACTATATCATGTAAAGAATCCAGATCGACTTAGTTGATATGAGGCACGAGTCTGATGAACAGTTCAAGTGGATTTTGCATATCAAAGATCACTTTTGCAAATGGTCCTCTCTGTTTCCTCTGAAGAGAAAGTGTGCTGAGGAGGTTGCTGGACTCATAGCAACTTGGATTGGGTGTTATGGAGTACCAGAAATTCTGCAGTATGATAATGGAAGACAGTTTAAGGGTATATTATTGGTTTTACTTAAATGGCATGTAATAAACATTAAAAATAGACACCCAAGAACTCCTCAGACTCAGGGACTAGTTGAGTAGGCTAATGGCACAATGAAGACCAAATTGTGTGCTTGGAAAGTAGATACAGCAGCAGCTGGAGGCAATTCTCATTGTTGGACACAAGCTCTACCTGAAATCTCTTTAACTATGAACCATCAAGATTATTCAAGTCTGAACGGCTACTCCCCTTATGAGGTCATGTTCAATCAGAAACTCCAGTGGGAACACACTATCTCCATCACCTCCTGAGTTTAACAAACAATTTCAAATATTTCAGAGAAGTCAGCTTCTAGCACGCAATTGGAAAATTCTACTACAGGTAGTATCAACCTCAACACAGACTCAGATACCCTTTTAGAAGCACTATTCTCAGCATCCAATTCACAGCTGGATGGGTGGGAATTCAAATTTGGTAAAGATAGGCCAGAGAATAAAGCTTTTACCAATAATATTACTGGAACTATCAATACTCCACTGACTCAGGTTTATGATCCGCCTAAGGAAGAGTATAGCGGGCCTGAGGTCGAAGAAAATGAACCAAGTAATATGCTTTCAGAATCCCCTAAACAGTGTATCCAAATGCAGCCAACAGAACTAGAACTAGTCCTTCAACCAGTAGCAGCCAAAGCTTGTAAGTACTTTCAAAAAAAATATAATTGTCAACATGTGGTTGAAAGTTTGTCGTCGGTGATATTGTTACTCTAAAAATACCCCTTGAAGATTGTGCCACTACCGATCGCATCAGAATTACCTGCCGTGTTCTTGCTGAGAGCTATTCCAATTGTTATAAGCTAAAAACTAAGTATGGGATACTTTCCAATCATTTTTCAGTTACTCAGTTACTCCGGGTTCCAGATTCAGCTGATGCTCTGATTGCTATTCCTTTTACACCAATGTCTACTATTATTTCGCTTCATGCTACAGCAGGCAAAATCTCAATAAGTGAGAGAATTAGTATTTCTTGCAACTGTAAGGAACCACAATGTAAGAGGCAGCGTCGCTGTATAAAAGTAAAATTAAGTGCTCAGTTCACTGTCATGCAACTGAGCATGACTGTGATAATCTATCGACTCGGAAGATGGCTATTCACACTGAGCTAGTATTGGTAGACCGCCCACTAGTACAGGTAGATTCACAAGTGAGAACCTACTAGGCTAAGGAATAATTTTCTTGAATGGAGAGGGATATCCTTAGCTAGTTAGCTTTAAATCACAGTTTAATCACTTCTTATTAGGTCCTGTACTAGATAGTATTGTGAAATCTTACTTTGAAATGCTTGATGAGTGGGATAGATTAAAATTTACTTTACAAGATGGACATCCTACCAGGAAAGTGACCTACTTGGCCAAGGGGATATCCTCTTGGTCAAGCAAAATTCTTGCCCAGCAGGATAGAACATATACATAGATATATTTATGCATAGTATGACTGAAAGCAAATCCCCACCAAAGTTAGCCAAATTTGTATGAGATCATGGCATTCCATGTTAGTTATTGCATGGGGATAGGTGCTGGCCTTGTGGGATAAATTAATAAAATAAAGAAAGCTTATAGAACGATCTTCCTTGTAAATATCTACTCTTCATAATTATTTTAGATAATCTTAATTAATTTTCTTTTATTATTTTTCAGCTAATGAATCTACCGACTTTTGCGGGAGAACGGGGTATGGGACAATACTTTTGACATTGGAGTTTATTACTACTACTATTACTTATCTCCAGTCAATCGCCCAGGTACGATACTACCTACTACCCGTTTCAACAAGCACTCGGGTATGCAGATGCATAGATTTTCTAACCATTGTCTGTCCGGTTACCCGCGTCCATACCCGAGTATCAGGACACCTTGGCACCGAGATATTTTTTTGCCGGCTTCGCGTATTATGAGAATGTAACTTACTACCCTGTTGAAGAAATTAATTGGGGAGTATGATAGCTAAACTATCCAATATTCTAGCTCAATGTATTAGCCAGAGGGGAGGGAATAAATTTCATGGATAGCTAATAGTTTCAATATCGTCCCCAGTACATTCTCACAATACGCGGTAAGGGAAAAAAATTCCCGGCGAAACAAGGTATCCGGATACCCGCAAAAACGGGTCGGCCTCCCCATGGTCGTCAGAACATCTTCCCATTTTATCAGTGCATAATCTCCACCGTTTAAAGAGGTTCACCTCAGGCCTAAATTTCATCCTTATAATATCTAGTGGGGGTCATACCCCACTTCCAGATTCCTAGGCATCGCGAGACCTGAGGAGAACGAGGTTACCGCGAGAACGCAAATTAACGAACCATGAGTGAGGTGCCCAAATTCCCCACCTCTCGAGGAACCTCGGAATAGACACCGGAACAAAAAGAAGACCAGATGAGACAAAGAACAAAGGAAAAACACAAGACCCTACGGGGATCGGGAACTCAATCCCAGCTCATTGTCCGATCACCCGCGTTCATTTGAAACCGGTATATAGAAGCTCACCTACCGATTCA